ACTTTTGCGATCTATACATATTACCTCGGGGTACCAATATCCTAGTCGCTAAACTCCCTCACGGGTCATTCGACAGTAACCGACGCATTTGGCTGTCCTCAGTTAGACAGTTTAACTCCTCAACTCCTCTTCAAAGGAACAATTGCTCGTGATCGAACTGTGTGATGCGTAAACTACTATCCAAATACCTAAACAATTTGCCTAATGTTACTGCCTGTACATAGACGCTTTCACGGACTGCTTGCGTCTTTTAGCCATATCCATTAACTGTACTCTTCATTTTGATTTTGTTTTTGCGATGGTGTACCATGACCAACAGTTTCTAGTTGGCCCGTTACGGGTGTCGCTAAGATTCTGCTCGAGACACTCAGTTTCTACACGATTGTTTTGTTTTTCGTTTTTCCCTAGCTTCGACACCAAAATCCTTGGCCGTTAACCCTTGTTAGTCGAAGGTTTCCTACGGCACCTTCCTTGAGGAAGGATGATGAAGCAGCTTGAGACCGAAAGTGTAACATGCTCAAGAGTTGTCACCATCTTTGGTTTGCCTGTTTCGCATGTATGCTCTCGCATGGTTGCAGGACTAGGTTGCTTGGAGCATTCGCTCGTGCATCCTTCTCCTTTGTAGCATAGATTCCGCCACGATCCTCGATGTCATGAGACCGATTCTTCAGTCAGGTCTTTTATCTTTGTTTAAGTCACTGCCACCTACGGTGGAGTAACTTCACTTTTAACGGTGCGTGAGTTTAGTGCTACACCTTCGCTTGCTAAGCATTTTCGCTTTCAGATACTCTTGAGCGTAGTCAGGCTAAAATCCGTGTGATGATTGCTAATGAACTATGAGCTCTTGTTTTATTGAACACGATATCCTTGTAATTTCCGAATTTCCGCTCATTACAGTTCCAATCCGTCGCTGAGTTTTGTCTTCTGATTTCATCTGGGTTGAACTACTACTGCGCGGAATGCGATACTTATACGAGTTACTAGTCAGAGTAAGAACCGCAACAACTGGCGTCGCGGTCATTTTGAACCAATGGAGTCCTGTAATTTGGAGAACTTGAATATACATGCCAGTGCGCGCGAAGTCGGATACTATCTTGAACGATTCGAGATTCGGTGTATTACGCGGAAAGGACTCGATGGAGAACGCAAAACGGCTTATTTCCTAATGGTCATCGGAAAGGATGCATACTCGTTGTTGAAGAATTTGGCATTTCCTGACTCTCCTATACCGTTGTCGTATGAATCCCTGAAAACCTTGCTGCTGAAGCATCTACAGCCGGCTAATCTCAAAGCCGCTGAACAAGCCAAATTTCATTCATTCACACGTGGTGGAAGCCAACCTGTACGTGACTTTATTCTTCAACTTCAGACTGAAACATCTCGTTGCAACTTCAGAGATTAATTGCAAACCCAGCTATGTGATCGATTAATTGCTGGTATTAATTGCCCGAAATCACAGCAAAAGCTCTTGCTCATGCAAGATCGCGCATTTCAGTCGGTTACGACAGTCTGTGAACAGTACCAAGACGTCCGTGCAATTATTTGTGATGAACCCAACTTGTTGTTCAATGCCAGCGATTCCAAACAGTCACCATCCCGACGAAGGCAGTGTTTCGAAGAGGGCTCGAAAAAACCAAGCAACATCAGTTCTCCAACCCACAATGCCAACGGATTCAACGGTGGAACAAGTGCAATTCCCGTGGTCAAAGACATTCGCGGCTATCCTGTAGATTTCGAAATGCCAAGTGTCACAATTGCGGTAAGCTTGGCTGTCTGTAAAAGTGCGAAATCGTATCTCACCAAACGTACGACTGTCCATTCCTCTAAAGATTAATTGTGCCATTTACAGTCCTTAACTCTAGCCAGTACCAGTTCACGTCCCTCTCGCCATATTACTCACGACTTCATCATTAATGACTCCATTCACCATACATTCATTATGGACACCGGCAGTGTTGATTCTTTCATTTCCAAAAAGGTATTTCGTCAGTTAAACCCCCAGTTGCACTTTACCCAACAGACATTTCAGTTAAGGGAATTACCAGTCATTCTTTGCCTGTCTTAGGATCATGCGAACTGCTTCTTATAGACGATAAATCACAAACATTTCACTGCACGATTTTGGTTATTGATTCCGACATTTCTATAATTAGTTTGAATTGTATGAATCGTATGCATCTGTCATTTTCATTCATGTCTAACCCCCATCAATCACACCTTCGTCACTTAGTACTTGAATGTTCCAAGGCAAAGGGTGGTATCAAAGTGACTCCTGTGAGTCTCAAAGTTACCGGTTTTCCGGTGTTTATAAAACATCGGATTATCCCACTTGGACTTCGGGAGCCCGTAAAAAAGCCGTTAGATGAAATGGTAAGCAAGGGAGTCCTGACACTCGTAACTTCTTCGGCTTGATCCACGCCAAGTGTTACTCCACTAAAACGTGACGGGAAGACTCCTAGGATACGTGGGGATTACCGAGTTACTGTGAACAGATAGCTGGAACAGTTCAGTTGTGCCACCGTCGTACAAGAAGTCATTCTGCACCAAATTCATGGATCCAAATTTCTCTCTAGTCTAGACTTAAAAGATGCATTTCTTCAAATTCCTCTTGATGGAAAGTCCCGTGAACTCACCACTATTAACACACCTTTTGGTTTATTTCGCCAGAACTTTCTACCGTTTGGATCAGTGTTTCCCCTGCTATTTTTCAAACTACCATTAATTCCATCATTTCTGGCTTACAAGTTACATATGCTTATCAGGACGATATTATTGTTCATACTCCTAGCAGACACTTACATGACGAACGTTTGAGTGCTTTGCTTGAAAGATTCCGTTCTCATAATGTTTCTATTAACCCTGATAAATGTACCTTTGCTACGACTAAACTTTCTTGTTTAGGTTATTTGGTTGATGAATCCGGATTTCGTCCTGACCCTAATAGATTTTCTTCGTTGACTAATGCTCCATCTCCCAAGTCATTCAATGAAATTCGTTCTTTAATTGGTTCTGTACAGTACCATTCCAAGTTTATCCCTAACGTTTCAACCCAAGCTTCTCCATTGTTTGATTTACAGTCACAGCAAACATTTCAGTGAACTTCAGTCCATGAACGTGCCTTGAGGAATATTTTTTCCTTTTTATCTCCCAGTGCTGTTTTACGTCCTATCTCCCCACAATTACATTCTACCGTCATCACGAACGCATCGCCCGTTGCAATTGGAGCTGTGTCGAAGCAGAATGGTCATCCGGTACTGTGCATCTCACGGCTGCCGAACGTGGTTATTCTCAAACTCAACGAGAAGTTCTAGCTGTCTATTGGGCTGTCACGCATATGCACAAGTATCTTTATGGTACTCATTTCATTATTGTGAATGAACATGAAACCCCGCAGTTCATTTGCAACCCTCAACGTTCCCTGGCTAAATCATCTGCAGCCATGGTACAGCGATGGAGTATTGCGTTGTCTGCCTATTCCTACGACATCCATCATCGCAGCGCGCAGTCCATTCCACATGCAGACTACCTGTCACGTTATGTCATTTCAGAGGAGGCTTCTACGGGTAATTGTCTACTCACTCAACTGCTCCCGGTAAGCCAATCTGATCTAGTTTGCGAGACCAGGAAATATTACCACGCTATCATTTCTTGTGTCCGTCGAGGTTGGCGAGGTGATATCAAGCGTCGATTTCCGGAATTCTATAAACTTCGTGAGGAAATTTCTGTGACGTGTGATGGTGTCTTGTGCTACAATGATCGCATTATTAATAATATTAATAATATTATTATGTACTACTCAATGACTTACATTCCGGTCATCGCGGCATCGAAAAGATGAAATCTCTTGCTCGTCTCACATGCTGGTGGCCTGAATTGAATCATGATCTGAATAGTGTTGCTAAATCCTGTGCTGAATGTGTGCACAAAACTCACAGACAGCCTTCGAAATAGACTCCGTGGCCAGTATCATCCGAGTCATGGCAAAGAATACATGTGGATTACTGTGGTCCATTCTTTAACAAGTATTACGCATTGGTGATCGTCGATTCCTATTCCCGTTGACCGGAACTGTACTTTACCACAACTCCCAGTTAAGAATTTACTATTCGAGCACTCAGGAAAACGTTCAGTAGAGAAGGTGTCCTGCATGCTATCATGACTGACAATGGAAGTCATTTCACTGTCAAGAAAGTTCCTGATTGATTAAACTCCGTGAGCTGTCGGTATGTTCTCACTCCACCCCGACATCCGCAATCCCATGGCACAGCCGAAAACTTTGTACGCACGCCGAAGAAGGCCATTGCTTCTTTGAATTCCAGTACATTCGACGAACTGGACAGAGGCGTTGATAACTTTCTTATGCAATACCGTTATGCAGTACATTGAACTACGGGATACAGCCCAGCAAGGCTGTTCAAGAGTCGAGTACTTTGAACAAATCTTCTACGCTTGGAGTCTGCGGAAATCGCGTATCATCATGGTAACGATTTACGACCCTCCAGGGGCATTGTACTAGACAATCTGGGACAAAGAGTATAACGCATATTGGATCTAGATGATGGCACTGTGCATCGCAGACATGTAGACCAAGTAATCTGTAATTTTCCCAATCCTGATACTAGTTGTGAACCTAATAATCCTTTTATTTCTGAGCCTTTTCCAAAGGAATTACATCCCAGTACAAATGTCGAAAACAGTATAGAAGAACCCAGATGATCTGAAGAATTATTCAACAAAGCCCGCCGTGATTACAGAAGGCCGGAGCTTCATTCAAGCTGCGGCGGATGTGGTGATTGCTCATGAACTATGAATTCTTTTGTTTTATTGAACACGAAATCCTTGTATATTCCGAATTTCCGCTTACAACAATTCCATTCCGCCTCTGAGTTGACTTCCGATTTCATTTGGAGTCCAAGTTCTGGGTTGGACTATAACTGCGCGGAATCCGATACGTATACGGAATACTAGTCCAAGTGCGAACCGCAACCCTTCGGTACTTTCAGAGAAGAATATAGTTTCCCTTGACTAACCGGTTATTCTTCCTGATTCATACCGGGTGATCGAGAAGCACGCGATAATTAGAAATCGGATCGCTGTCGCAGTTCATGATATTGCATCCTCCGTCTCTAAACTGGTGAGCCCGTTTCATGTTTTGGTTATTGTTTTCACGAATTTCCGTTTTTAATAACCACCCGTGTTGTTCTCCTCGACTTTTAGATATTTTTTGCTCTACGCAGGGTGCAATAATGTATGTTTAGAATATAATTTTCTGTATTGGACGATTTGGGTATTTTTACGAAATCACTGTTACACGGGATAAACTCCGTGTCGCGAAGCCAGGATTTGACCGGCTCTTCAACCCGGAACCACTTGGCCAACCCGCAGTAGCTGAGCTTCTCCCTTCACATGCTTCCCAAAAGGGACTCCGCAGATTGGCGTCCGTCCGGTGATTATCGAGCTCTTAACATGGTCGCTACTCCTGACCGCTACCCTATCCTGCACATCCATGACTTCACGGCTTGCCTACATGGCAAGACTATCTTCTCCAATTTTGATCTGGTGCGTGCTTATAACTAGATACCAGTTAAACCTGCAGACATCCCAGAGACCGCGGTGATTATGTGACGGTTTTTCAACAGCTTTTGTACACACTACTTTTCTAATTTTACCATCTTTTTCTTCGTTCTTCTTTCTCTTTTATGAACTCAACACTTGATAGTTGTTTTAACCGGCCTCCTCATCACCTGCTCGGTATTTTGGAGGTCTCGCTCCGTGCATTATTCTATTGTTTGTCGTTTTGTGCTTGGCATCTACACCGGACTATACGGATGTATCTTCACCTGCATGACCATGAGAGCAGTACATCTAGAGGTAGCGCATTCATACTCAACGGAATCATTCATCATGGCCCTGGACCGGTCCATAGCTCGCAGAGACAAACCAGAACACGTATTCAGTGATAATGGATCGAATTTTGTAGGAGCGACAAATGAACTGCGGGCTTGCTTGCGATCTCAGGATAAAAAGGTAAAATACATAATCATCCCCTTAAGGACACGGTACAGAGGCACCTCAAACCTCCTGACGCCATCCATGGAGGGGGAGTTTGGGAAGGGCTGATTAAGATGATAAAGAGAATATTGATGGTGACGGACAAAGTGTTACTCACGGCCCTGGTAGCGGCTGGATGGATAATGATTATTAGACCGCTCGTTCCGGAATCAGCTTGAAAAGCACTCACGCCACAGATGTTGCTCACTATAGGGCGGTGCGATGCGAGTGCTGAAGTGAAAAACACAGTAGACCGTTATACCCGTAGGTGGCATGAACTGCAGGATATTGCAGATTGGTTCTCGAAGTGATGGACGAGGGAATACTTGCTATTACTTCAAATCAGATCCAAGTGGTGTACAAGACACAGAGACTTTCAACCGGGAGATTTGATGATAGTGGTAAAGGAAAGCATACCCAAAAATGAGTGGCCTTTGGGTCTTATACAACAAACCGGAAAATGCAAAGACGGACTTGTGAGAGAATTGGAGGAAAAAACCAATAGTGAATCGTTCAGTTAAGATGTCAGAAACATCTACCTTTTAGAAGGGGTCCTGAACAATGTTACTGATGGTGAGCATGTAATTGGTTGTCGCCAGAAAACAATACGCCTATTTGTTTGTATTTTGCAATCCTCCGCTTTTCCCGCTTACTGAGACGAACTGTTCAATTCCTTATCGCTGACGCTTATCATGGAACCTTTGGTCTCCATTTTTTACTCTTCACGCTCATCTCCAATATGCCCCGCTCGTTTTACGTCTATCTCTCTAAAATTTTGGTACTTCAAAACCAACACTTTCTGTAAGATCACACACCAGACAATCGACAAAGACACACAATCCAGAATGTTAGACTATTCAAGTTGACTGAAACATTTTGAGAAAAATTCTGATGCTTTGACATTTTAACAAGAAGCAGCGAATTCACGAACGCAATCAGCGGTTGTTAATTTGGAAATGAATAACTCGGAGCGAAACGGGCCACAAATGAACATATTCGGCTAATGAACAGTTGGGCTTATTGGCAACCCAATCGACACGGAGCACCTGGGCTTCATATTTGGTTAATGACCATGTAGGTTCATTAGCCCTCAAGCAATTCCAACTTGATTGATGGATTCACAAGTATTCCTGACGTCATACACAAAACCGGCTTGCGAAATTCACATATGAAGCGTCACGGAGTCGAAGCGTTTTCTGGTCGTTCAGAGTGAATTACAATGAAGTCTTGAAGTCTTGAACTAGTGCTCGGGTTCGAGACTTGCGCCCAATATTCCCGGTTCCGGCTTTGTCTTCTTTTCTGCAGTTCGGCTCACGAGCTGAAAGAGATGTTGACGGAAATGGGAGATGGTTCCAATATGGTGCCGCTGGGCATCGGAAAAAAATCTAGAGGGGAGCGAGGATGTGAGAGAAGTAGTGACAGAGATAAGCAGGATAACGTGGGGGGTTTCCTCAGAAGATGGAGGCCAATTAGACTAGAGGATGGTAAGCGCTAGGTGTGAGTCTAGCAGGGTTTTGAAGACCCCTTTGGAGAAGGAGTTCACAATCTCTAGTGGAAGTTGGTTCCATTCTGAGACGACCCTGTACTTGAAGAAGTTGGAGCGGATGTAGGTTCTGGGACGGTGTTTGAAGAGTTTCCTCGGGTGTCCCCTTAAGTGTTCCAGCCTAGAGCGTGTGAAGAAACGGTCAACTCGGCCTGACGTGAAAAGGTCATATGGAAGGAAAAGATCCCCTCTGATATCTAGAGGGTACAGATTTAGCTGTTGTAGTCGGATAGGATAAGGGGTTTCTGACAAGCCATGCACTAGTTTGGCGGCCCTTCGCTGCACACGCTCTAGTGAGTCGCGGTCGCGAATGAGGCCAGAATGTGTAATTTGGCTGCCTTATTCTAACAGTGGGCGTATGTATGTTCCATAGAGGAAAGGGAAGTCCTCTTTGGTTATACGCGGGAAAGATCGTTTGATAAGGTTAAGAATACGAAAAGCGGTTGCCATTCAGCCAGAAACCCAGAATTTTTTGCTGATCCACCAGTTGGATACGGGTTGAACCGTTTACCCAGAAAGGTTGACCAAGAGCGTTACCAAAGGGCATGCTTGCCCATTTTTCGTCATTGATTGGTAAGCTCCAGTCGACTGACCAACTTTTTGTTTGATCAATCGCCGACTGCACTTAGGATGCGTCTGTGCCCCAGATAGTGACATCATTCGCGTACATGGCAATCTCTATAGGGAGACGTTTAGGGACATCATTAATATAGATCAGAAATAGGATGGGACCTAGTACGGAGCCCTGTGGGGAGGGTGAAGAAACGGATTTGCCTATTCGAACCGTGAAGGAGCGATTCGACAGAAAACTAGTAAGCAGGGAAAGCAATCGGTCAGTGATGCCATGACTCTCTAGTTTGTACAGGAGAGGGATGTGTGGCACTCTGTCGAAGGCTTTGGCAAAGTCTATGAAGATCGCGTGCGACATAGGCACGGGTTAAGCTATCCATTAAGGTCAGCATATTGGGGATGCATGACCTGTTTGGTAGGAAGCCGTGTTGGGAAGTGCGTACCAAGTCGTTCTCAGTTAGATATCCTAGAATACGCCGTTTAAGGAGGCACTCGAATATCTTACTAGGTATACTGGTTAGGCTGATAGGCCTATAGCTAGTAGGCAAGTGTCTATCGCTTTTCTTATAAATAGGGATAANTAACAGTTACCCCCTTCCACTGTTGTGGAAGGGTTCCTGTGTCCGAGCACGTTTGTTCTGTTGGTTTCTCTGGAACTTCCGGATCCTTGCTTTGCATAAATTGCAAATACAGACGAAGTCGTTAGCATCTTCCATCAGACCCGTCAATTTGTACCGAGCAAAGGACCAAGAACGTTCTTCTAAAAGATGACGGATAGCACGCGGCAAGGGGTATCTGTTTGATGAAGATTTACGGACGCGGGGCACCAGCAGATGGTCCGCTGCGTGGATACACCGCTCTATTGTACTACTCAAGATGTTTACGTTACTTATCTGGTTGGTTTGTGGGGTATGGGCTTAGAGAAAATGCCTCAGGTTGTTGAAGTTTTTTCTTTTAAAAGAACGAACCTCCTTAANCATCTGGGCCAGGGGACTACTACATCGAAAGACAACACGATATGATCGCTCTTGCCCAAAGGGCAATGCTGTTGGATTGTGTCTGTGAGATGACCATCACTTGTTATGACAAGGTCTAGCAATGAGAGACCTTGCCCGTTTCTGCCCGTTTCTGAAGCTATAAGTAAACACAAACCCTGGATCAATCCCCTTCTGCCGTAAGCCGGTCGTTTGCTTAAGAATTACGGTCATTGATCATTTATGTTTTGCACTACATCTTCAATTTTCCTATTACTCTTACCGTCACTGATTGGGAGCTACGCCGCCGGGCGCAGGCTAGCTTTACAGGTTGATGGCTTATTATTGGCTAACTTATTTGCCACGAGTGTACAACTCCTAGCCTTAGACATTCGGTCGCCGTCAATCCCGGTGAACGTGAATGCATGTGCAGGTTAACTTCAAAGTCAGTATCGAAAAGAGATGGAGAACATCGTGCTCCATTGACAATATAAAGGGTATTTAGTAACGATCATAATCACAAGTGTAATCGCTACGGATTACTATCAACAACTGCATGTTGTGGGCGTCAGTGTAGTGACTAGCTTTCCACAAAAAAAACCAAAACCCAGTGTTCGTCAAAATCCAGCTCCATCGATAGGTGTGCTTGATCGATTTCATGTCACGATAATTTTTTGATTGAAACCTTCCGCGTCTGACGAGCGATAGTGTCCGAATCCGGCCAGTCGGAGCATTCAGCCAACTTTGGTGGATTCTTACTCCAAGCGAAATATTCTCCTCCGGTCTCCGGTACCATCGTCAGGCGTGCTGGTCTAAGCATGCGACCTACATGAGACGGGCGTTTGAACATTGAGGTGATAGCAACCATACCATCAGCGTCTACAAAAATGACGCAAGGCGGTACTCAAAAGCAGTTAATTGGAAACGATCCAGAAATTGCTGCGCGACTCAACTTGGTTTCAGAGTTATTGGCCAAAGACCTAGAACGCATGGCGGCTCCTCAATCAGCTGCCTCGCGTCTGTATCCTTCATGGTCTCTAGAGCTTCGTAGCCTTCTTTGGTTCACTTCGGCCGGCTCCATTTTTTGTGACGTCTCGCAACAGATACCTCTGGTCCTCGAACCTATGCGACGATTGAGGTTTGACGCCCTACACGGGTTATCACACTCTGAAATCCATGCCACTAAAATTAATTAGTCAACGGTACGTTTGGCCGTCTATGAATAAACACGTGCGCTCTCGGGCTCGCACCTGCGGGATTTGTCAAAAGGCCAAGGTGCACGCCACACCTACACCCCATTTGGTAGCTTTGCACTGCCTGATGTTATGTTTAGCCACGTTCATCTGAATATCGTAGGAATCCCTGAGGCGTCAAACGGTTTTCTCTATCTTCTCACTTGCATTGACCGTTTTAACCATTGGCCGGAAGCAATTCCGATTCTCAACGTTGACGCGCCACCATCTTGAAAGCTTTTGTTGAACGGTGGGTTGCTTCGTTCGGTTGCCCAGCAACCATTACCACCGACAGCGGACCCCAGTTTAAATCTTCAATATTCAATACCTTGATCGCGTTTCTTGGTTCTCGTCAGGTGCGCACCACCGTCCTTCACCCTGCGGCAAACGGTTTTGTTGAGAGATTCTATCGTCAACTCAAGGCAGATCTATCCACTTGCTCCCCACTACCGTGGGATGGCACTCTTCCCATAGTTGTTCTTGATATTCGCAATTGTCTAAAAGAGGATCGTAAATGCATTGCAGCCGAGTTAGTTTTTGGAACTACTTTACGTCTTCCTGGAGACCACATTTCTCCTACCACGTAAGCTAAGTTTACAGACATAGACAAGTATGTCTAACGCTTCCGGTTCCGTATGGGAAAACTGACACCTACTCAACCGCGTCCGCAGTCACGACGCGTGTTTGTTCTTAAGGATCCAGCCTACTGCATTCGTGTTTGAGTTCGATCCAGTGGTATCCGCAAACCTCTTCAACCATTTTGCGATGGTCTCTTCAAAGTAGTCCGCCGTTCATCCAAATTCTTTATTATTGATCACAATGGCAAAAGGGATAGCGTTTCCCTGGAAAGGTTGAAACCTGCTTATCTCGATCCCCTTTGCGATTCTTCACTCTTACCTTCATCTGAACCTCCTGCACCTTTACCCACTTCCCCTTCTGTCCCTCCTCCGGTGACAGCATTCCTAACAGACTCAAACATACGCTCTGCCCTACACACTAGCGCCTTCACTAAGTCAGGTCGTAAAGTTTGTTTTCCTCTAAATGTACTGAATGGTGGCTAGGGTGACTAGACGTTTCATGCGTGTTTTCTATTATTTTTTCACCGTTTTCGACGTCCTAACGTGTTTTGAAAACCACAAAACAATTCCTAAAATGCGTGAAACCCGAAAATGTCACAAACGTGAAAACTCCAAAAAAGTGTTTTTCATTTTCCGTATCCTTATCGTTCAGTGTAGCTGAGACACCTGTTTCATGCGTTTTTTCCATTTGTTTTCACAAGACTGTTCTTATTCAGAGCTGAACTGGCTGCTCTGAAGAAAAACAACGTGAAGATTTTTTCAGTCAACTATACTGAATATAGATCAATTCAGTTGGCAAACGCTATGAAAAGTTTCTCCGAACTTTATT